CGGGGCAGGCGGGAATTGAACTCATGCGGAACTGGCTTAAGCTTCTTAGTGCAGTGCTTTAACCCGCTGCGCCACCAGAGAGGGCCTTCAGATTATATTTTTAAAGTCTTAGAAACAGAAATGCTGGGTAGAAGCATCTGGGCATTTCTCAGGCTGTTGATACATTTACTTAAGTTGTAATTTTTTATTTTTAAAGATTTATTTTTTATTCATGCATACAGGAACTGGGGTGCAGGTTAGAGATGTGGGGTTGAGAGGATTCACCAGAGACTGAGTAGGGAACAGAACAGACAGATCTACTGAAATATACTGCTGAGGGGAGCAGCAGGGTGGGTCAGGAGAGGTCTGCTACACCTTGTGGTCACCTCCCTGGCTGGGGATCGAACTTGTGCTCCAGTTTCTGCGGACAGCCTCATACTGCTGTGATTTAATCCCTTGTGCCACGAGGGAGGGCCGGTTGTAGTTTTTAAATATGCTTAGTTGTGATTTTTATTTTCTCCTTTAGGTTTACTCAGGATAATAATGTTCTAAGCCTGGAACAGAGAAGATTTTATGAAGAAAATGGATTTCTTGTCATTAAAAATCTAGTCTCTGATGCTGACATTGAACGCTTTAGGTACAGTAAACTGTTATTTTATAGAATTATAGAATGGAAATATGAGCTTGATTAGTGTCTGCATGTTTGATACTTTCCAGTGATTCGGCCTGTTGGGAATGGTCAGGAGCCTGGGCTCAAGAGCCAGGTTGTGTGTCCTAAGGCAATTTACTGACCTTCCCCAGGCCTCATCTATAAGATGAGTTCTTAGGCCTAAATAAGGTCAGAGAGAGTGCTTCCAACAGCCTAGCAGAGTAAGGGCTACAGAGCTGTCTGCTGTTACTGTTCAGATGAAACCAACTCACAAATACTTCCCCTCTGGTCTGTTCAGTTAAGGAAGATTTGCATTCTGGGAGTGAATTCTAGCCTCACTGTTGTAAAAACTGGACTGTTGAGATAGTTATCCTTGCTCCCCCCTCATCAGAACAATTCAGTCTGAGACTGGAGCAGCTGAGTGCAGAGAAGCCCACCTCCCACGCCCCCAAATCTTCCTACTGGGCCAGGTAGGTCCTTGGACCCAGCAGTAATGACATCATTTGTCAATTTAATTTTCCAGGAATGAGTTTGAAAAAATTTGCAGAAAGGAGGTGAAGCCACAAGGACTGATGGTGATGAGAGACGTGACCCTTGCAAAGTCAGAGTATGTTCCAAGCGAAAGAGTGATCACCAAGGTGCAAGACTTCCAGGAAGACCAGGAACTCTTCAGATACTGCACCCTCCCTGAGGTTCCACATCTTCCTGTGTTTGCTTACCTATGAAGTGACCATAGTCCACGTTTATGCCCGCCCCTGAGGCGGCTGCTTTTACGCTGCCTAGCCCTCATGAAGAGGGCTGCAGCTGTGGTTCTGTCAGGTGCACAGTTCCCGTGTCTGGGGACATGTCAGGGGGAGGGAGCGCTACTACGTATCTGGTGAATGGAGGCCAGGATGCTGTCTGTGGGCCCTGGGGGGAGGGGGTCCTGTGACGCAGAGGACGCCCCTCCCCCAAAGACTTATGGAGCCCCAAATGTCAGTGATACCAAGAATGAGAAACCCCGCTCTAGAGTTCTCTCATTATCTTTGGTTGAGCACAGGAATTCTGTCACACTCCCACCTATCAGCAGGGGCATAGCAACAGGCTGTTTGCTGTGGAGGTGTTGTCAGCAGCAGCAGGCAAGAATTTGTCTTTAACCTGGAGCTAGTTTTTTTTTTTTTTTTAGATTTATTTATTTATTCAGTAGCTGTTATTTAGGAAAATATCTAATTAGTGCAGAGGGCATACAGTGAAAAGTCAAGTCTCCTTCCTTCCCGTGCTGCTCAATCTTCCTTCTGTGTTCATCTAGATCTCTGCATCCACAGCATGTTTGTCTGTCCCCACCTCCAGTGGATCGTGGACTGTTTGTAACCTTGTTTTCCCCCACACCGTAGATCTTTGACATCAGCATCTGTGGATCCCTTGCATATCTTTTTTGAAGTACTGCATACTATGTCATTGCACACATGGGTGTGGACCGGGTGTAGCATAGTTTTATTTTTTTTTCTTTTTCTTTTTTTTTTTATTACAAAAGTTTATTTTTACATCATTTTATATACTTTTTTTTTTCCATCTCGATTGTAATCCCTGCGGGTTTCCCATCACCAAGTCACCCGTGTGCCATCACCATAATCCCGTGCACTTCCCTCCCCACCCCCCACCTCCGTTTTTGATCCCATTCCCCACTCCACCCCCACAACATGTCTCTGGTATATGGCTGTTCGTTATTTTTGTTATTTTCTCGCCTGGTCCATTATACTCCTGCTATGAGTGAAACCATCCGGTATTTTTCTTTCTCTTTCTGGCTTATCTCACCAAGCATGATCTTTTCCAGGGATGTAGCATAGTTTTAAAGGGAACTTTGCACACAGTAGTTAGAAACGATAAACCACAGGCTGCTCGATACCTGACAGCATGGGTGAGCCCCTGTGACGTCCGGCCCTTTGAGTGCGGGAGGGGAGAAGCAGCAGCCTTCTGGACCTTCTTTTCTTCCCAGCCACCTCCTGTTATGAGAATGGGAGGTATGTGGGTGGCTGCAGCACTGGCAGGGTTTCTAGATAAGTCCCGTATCTCTAAGGTGTGAGCCACGCTTTGGGTGGCCCATGCAGCAGCTCGGGAAGGTATGCATTATTTTAGTAGGTAAGTGTTTGTTTTAATGTGTATTGGAACAATAACCAATACATCCGTTTGACAGTTTCAAGAAAATTATTACTCCACATAAATTAAATTTAAAAAAGGAGTTAATGTTGGGAAATTTTAAGTTAAGTAACAGTGCAAAGTGTGGCAGAAATTCCAAGGATGGCCCTTAATTGACTGAGCTTTAGGAAATACCAGTGAAAGCCAAAAAGTGACAGGCTGACTCTTACAATTTTTGTTAACATTCCAAGTGTCTCTTATAATCGAGATCAAGTAGTGAGATGGCAGTAGGAACAGCTTCATGTTGTGGAGTCAGAATTGGAGCTTGAATATCATCTTCATTTAGCTGACTCTGCAGTTTGGGCCATGTCTCAGGCTTATTCACGTGGGGCATTCTTTTATAGGATTATTAGTTAATAGGGACATTAATTTTAGGGGATTTTTGTTAAGCTTAAAAGGATCGATGTATGAAGCCTCTTGCAACTGTAAGCATTCTGTGACTGTAAGCAACTGCAAGCCTCTTCTCCTTACCCCTCCTTGGCTGGGGTAGAGGCAACTCCAAGATTAGCTTACTCCTGTCACACGCTGTCCTTGCAGCATTCTCCATAGCAAGCATCTCAGCCACTCTTACCTGCATCAGTGTGAACATCTTTCTTCTCACAGACTGTGAATGCCAGGGCAAGGGGCAGGGACCTGCCTAGCCGTGTGCCCAGTTCCTGCCACTCTGCTGGTTCACGGCCTCCGTCCAGGGCTGCAGAGTGGACGGTGCCACGGATTGGGAAGTTCCCCAAGCCACTGCTCCACTTTCCTCTGGGCTTCTAGTGACAGCTACAAACTTGTTCGGACCAGTCAGTCTCTTGGGAGGAGGCAGCTGCCTTTTCAGTGGGCAACCATAAGTTAGTCCCAGTGGCTGGGATGTTGGTGATCAGCCTGCTGTTTTCAAGCCTCATTCCCTGGGCATGTCCTGCCTGAGAGGTCAGGTGGCCCCGGCACCCAAGTTCAGAGAGCAAAGCCAGGGGAGTAAGTGCATTTCTGTGCTTCCCGGGTGATAGCTCATAGAAATTCCTCTTTCCTGTAGGAAAAGTGGTTAAATTTCCAACTGGCTCCTAAAAAACACATTCACATCAGAGTGTTATAAATTGTGAATGTTTTCCAGTTGCTCGCCTTCCCATGCTGTGTGTGTGCAGTGTTATGAAATGCCATCTTCTTCTTTTTTTTTTAATTGACTGCTACCTTGCTTTTTGTGTAGATACTGAACTTTGTGCTCCTTGCTTGTGTATTTAATTTCCTGTGAACTTCTCTCTTCTTTTCCTTAGATCCTGAAATATGTGGAGTGCTTCACTGGACCCAATATAATGGCCATGCATACGATGCTGATAAATAAGCCTCCGGATTCTGGTAAAGAGATCTTAATTGTTAAGGAGAAGCACAAAAATACTATTTAATTAAAGAGCCTAAGGTTGATGTTCTAACTTTAGCTGTGTAACTGCTAACCTTTACAGAAGGGAGTATGTGTTTTTATTTGTCTTAAGCTAGTCCACATTATAACGCCACTAGAGTATAATAGTGATTGCAGAAGTTTAACTGTAGGGTTTGCGCTGAATTTTTGTACAACTGGCTTCTCAAAAATGCAGTTCATGAAACAGAGTGCTCCGATAGCATCAGCTCAGTTATCCAACCTGCCTAAACCTTGCTGGTCTCACCTGAAATATTGTGGGTTCTGTCTTCCTGATATGAAGACATTATTACTACTAACAAAATTTAAACTATTTTTATAAATAACATACTGCAAGTGTTTTTAAAATTTCTTGTGCTTGCAAAAATGTTTCTAAGACCCCCCCACACCCCCCCGAAAGACAGGTTTGGAACACAGAACCCAGGGATCTTCCTAACCAGTCTCAGAGATTCTAATGCAGGCGTCTCTTGGGCCATGCTGAGAAACTCAGCTAGACCAGCAGATGCAAATCAGCCACTAGAGAAATCAGCCCTTTCTGATATCTTTCTGCCTCCCAGGGTTAGAGTTAGGGTTAGGGTTATAGCTAGGGCTAGGGGACGTTGGTGATCGGTCTGCTGTTTTCAAGCCTCATTCCCCAGGCACGTCCTGCCTGAGAGGTCATGTGGCCCCAGCAACCAAGTTCAGAGAGCAAAGCCAGGGGAGAATGTGATTTGCCACCAAAGCCCTAAAGTTTCATGGGAAACCTCTCTGAGGGCGATCTTTAAAAAAAAAAAAAAAAAGGCCTTTTGGAGGCTGTAACCTCAAATAGGACCACTCTGTTTAATTATACAGTTTTTTTGGATTACTGTTCTCTGTGTCAAAACCAGAGTCACAGAAGAATAAAGCACAGTAAAGATATTGACATATATGTAGTTTGCTGGAAAATGTTATTATGTATTTACTCTGCCATCAGAAACCGAAGTCAAGGATTATGGGATCCAGAATCACCATGTTGATTTGATTTTTCCAATTGGGTGCTCTCTCTCAGGCTGATTTTTCTGTAATGGTTTTTGCTTTGGCCTTTGAAGCAGAGAGGAGTATTTTTTTTTTAAAGATTTATTTATTTATGCATATAAGAGCTGTAGTACAAGCCAGAGGTGCGTGGGTAAGAGGATTCACCAGAGACAGAGTGGGGAACAGAACAGGCAGACTGACTGAAATACGCTGCTGAGGGGAGCAGCAGGTGGGTCAGGTCTGCTGTGCCATGTGGGTCAGCTCTCTGGCCAGGGATTGAACTCATGCTGCAGTGGCTGCAGAGAGCTTCTTAGTGCCATGCTTTAAGCTGGTGAGCCACCAGGGAGGGCCAAGAGGAGTATCCTTTAATGGCAGGTTCTGTTTCAGGCAAGAAGACATCCCGGCATCCCCTGCACCAGGATCTGCACTATTTTCCCTTCAGGCCCAGTGATAACATTGTCTGTGCTTGGACCGCCATGGAGCACATCCATCGGGACAATGGCTGTCTGGTTGTGCTCCCAGGCACTCACAAAGGCACCCTGAAGCCGCACGATTATCCCCAGTGGGAGGTAGGTCTGCATAGAGGCTGGGTCCTGATCAGAATTTAACATCTGACTTTGACATCAGTAAAGACCTTCACCCACGGAGACGACATTTCTTTTTTAGCAAAATGTTGTTCTAGGATTTGAAATTAGGATTGTGGAAAATTCAAGGATGTCAGATAAAATCATTACTTTTGTTCTTTCCACAAGTGTGTGGGAGTCACCCAATAGGGGGAACTTGATAGATGCTGTGTAGCACCTAGTCTGTAAAGCCTGGCTCCAGAGGTAAGACAATAACACATCAACACCAGGAGCACGTGACAATACCCCGGGGAGTAAAGGTTGGGGATGAGTGGGAGAGGTGTCACCTTCTAGTCAGAGAGGCCTCTGGGGCTCTGGAGATGCTGCTTTGGTTGAGCCTTGAAGGACAGGGTAGATATATATAGATAGCAAGGAGGTGGGGAAAGGCCTGTGTTAAGGTAAATATGAACCTGGGTGAAGGGGGGGTGGTGCATTTGGGGGATGACAGTGGGAGATGAGCCTCAAAAGATGTACTAGAGTATGACCAGAACAAACCTTGCTTGTGTAGTAATGAGTCTGTATTTATTTGGTGGGACTGGAAGATTTTCAGTTTTATCAAGGTAGAATTGACAAATAATAAACCATATATTTTAAGTTTATAGTTTTTGTAATTTTTACACATAATGATATCTTGGACATTGCAAACACATAATGATATCTTTGCCCCTGCCTGCTCTAGACAGCCACTGCCCCACTGTTCGGCCTGGGCACACATCGCTTCTGTGAAGGGACATTCTCAGATAAGTGGCAGGTTTTTGGATATGCACACACTTGGTGGCCCAGGCTGTTTCACAACTGTTCTTACGATGAACAGGAAAATTTGAACCTCTTGATTTGCATGACTTTGTAGTGTTTTCTGGGTCAAGAGAGTAGCCAGCAGTTTTCAGAGATCACTAAAGCCGCTGACGGGAAGAGCTCAATCTTTTTTTATACTAAAAATGTGCATTGAATACCCTGAAGTTCTGTTCTTATATAAACATCCAGGAATTTCTTTAGCCTAAGAAAAAGACAAAATTTAAATAAAGGCATTACCTAAAGCAACAAATAGCTTTGGAAGTAGTTATTTAAAACAACAACAGTAGTACTTTAATTTATTGTTGTTTTTTATTCTGGCCATGACATGAGTAGTTTTGAACTCAGAAAACAATGGAGATTTTTGTCTTCCCTCTTTTGGGAGAATAGTGAGCTTCTCAGTGATACTCTTATGAAATAGAAGAATAATTTATACAAAAGTCTAGGTGAGGAAAGTATGTTGGAAAGAATGATGACAGTTTAGATTGGAAAGATGGTCTCTCTAACTCACAAAACGCAAAGTTGATCTAGATCTTTATATATACCCTAGTAATGAAAGGTAGGTGAAAATGCCAGATTTTTCATTTGGTCAGAAAATGTCTGTTTTATTATCAACATGTAACTTTCAAAAATCAAATACTTGAGAGATTTTTTTTTGTATATTTCCCTTAGGAATCTCTATATTTCTATTGGAAGAACATATAGAATCTATGATTTTTCTGACATGTTCTTGATAGTTTTAATTCTTGGCTTCCTTAAGGACAGACGGGGTGTCTCTTCTGTTTTAGGGGGGAGTTAACATCATGTTCCATGGGATCCAGGACTATGATGAA